CGCGTGCGAACAATCGCACGAAGCATTGAATTTTCAGTGAAGGAAGCAACGACAGAGTTTCGATATTGTGGGATTACAGTCAATTTCTTGTGGTTTAATTTTAAGAACGTAGATAGCTATATTTAATAATATTCAATATTGAGAACCAAAAAGATTGTGAATTAAGATTGATTTAATTCTTAAATGATATAGATAATTAAATAATTAATCATTATTTAGATTAGATTTAAATTTGATTGGTGAATAAAAAAATTAAAAATACTCTAAAATTAAATAATTTAATTGAAATTTTTGCAGTAACGGTTAAGAATATCTAAGTTAAACTTAGATTGTGAATAAAAAATAAAGAAAATTAATAGTTAAGAAATATATGTTATCTATCTATAACAGATTACAGAATTAAAATATACAAATTTTTATCAAAACTCAGTGATGAAAAAGATAAAAGATAGAAACGAGTCGAAATGTATTAACCATTTAATTTTTTTTGTGTCTTTGATCCTCCCAATGGAGAATAGTTAAAGAACCGCACGCTTCATTGTGCTTTAGACCGTCTCTACGGTGGTTCTTGGTTGGAGCAAACAGGCTTTGGGTCACCAAGCCTATTTGGTACACGTGTCCTAACACGTCGAATCTCTACGATCCTCCCTCCGTTTGGGACGAAGTAGAGACCGAACCCGTGACAAAAGGTCGGCACGCTTCAGCACGTGACTGCCAATGGAACGACTTCGGGGCACTAGAAAGTGGCAGCCAACAAGGAAGACAAGGAAATATAGGTATTCTCACTTCACTGTATTTTTTGTTTTTTTTTTTTATTTTCTTTTTCCTGTATTTCCTCATTAGATTAATTTGTCAGAATAAAAACAGATTTGAATTTCTTTAGTTTGGATAAGTTGGTATACCTGTGGCATTGTAAGATCAAAGAGGTTAGGAAATTTTATTGATATTAAATGATATATGAAATTAAAATTACAAATTAAAATTTTGTATTCTTAGATACTATTTAGATTATAATTTAATTATAGGCATAATATAATAGATTAATACATATAATATATAGTATAATAGTATAATAAATCTATGGATAATATACAAATTTTTTTCTTTTTTTTATTATTATTCTACTTTTTATTAATATTTTTTCTATTATTTCTTTTTTTTTATCATCTCATATTTTTCTAATCTCTTCTTTTATCTTTTCTAGTCATTTTTCTTCTTTCTCTTCGCAATTGTCCTCGTATATTTCTGAGTTCTCTTTGTTCAAAGCTTCTTTTCTCTTTCCACCCTGCTCTCTTTTCAACATCAGACCGTCGATAGGCCGCAATTCAGTGTCGCGTCGTTGCACACAGTTTGTGGCAGTGGACGTCAATTGCATTGCTCCGCATATTTCATTCTAGGCTGGTTCGGCGACTTGTCACCATTTCAAAAGATTTTAATGATAATTTTCAAAAGAAAAACTATTAAGTGTATCTTGGGAATTGATTAAAAAAATGTGTGCAAATCAGTTACATTATGAAAATAATTGATATTTTTTTTTTATAATAAAAATCAAAATTAAATATAATTTTTTAGTTTACATGGAATTAATTTTGAATAATGCTAATAAAATATACAAAAGAATTAAAAAATTATTCAAAAAAATTATGGAATTAAGAAACATAATATTGGAGAAAAAATTCAATTTTTTAAATATTAATATTCTTTTGCTTCTTTATATGAAAATCAGCATGAATTAATATTAAATATAAACACTTCATTTTGTCGAGTCATGTTTAACATTTAACAATTTAACTTTTCATCAAAAGTTTTATTTTATTCTATTTTAAAGATATCTTTTATTTTGAATAGATATAAAAGTTAAAATATGTTTCTTATAGACGAAAATTTGTTTTTAAATTCCGGATTTTTCATTATCAAAATATAATAATCAAAACTATACTTTTATTAATAATATCTAAATATAAATAAAAAATAAAAATATAAATTAATCAGTAATTAAATATTAAAATTTTATTTATAAATCTTGTAATTATAAATTTATATTAAATTTTATATTATTAAATTTAATATTATTAAATTTTATAATATTAAATTTAAATTATTAATAGTAAATTTACATTCATTCTAGATGCATTCAAAATTATTACAAAAGAATCTATTAAACAAAGATCTCTAAGAACGAGAGAACCATGAAAAATCTCGAGTTTACCTTTCCCAAACCGCAATTTAAACATATTCGTGGTTCAAATGGTGCTACTATCACTGAAAACAGCTTCCATCTAAGCGTATTTGATCAATAAATAATTTGGCAAACAAATTGATCCCCAGGGACTATAAACAGATACTTAGAGGCACGCGTTTCACTCTTCACTTCTATCAGAAAATAAATTGACCATATGTTTATTAAATTAACATATATACTGATTGGACAATAAATATTCGATAGAGTATGAGACCCCTACTGTGAGAATCGAAATAGGGCCCGCAGTGTGAAATCTCTATTATCGAAGGGTTGGTATGGTATCCCGTTGTTCCAGCAGTTGTATACATATATATATGTATCCTGAACTGGTGCTGACAGAGATCTTTCGATTCTTAGAAATAATGTAATCACTAATTAAATGTTTGGATATCTATGGTCGTTTGATATTTTTTATATCTGGAAAGAAAAAAGAGAAAAACGTAAGTATTTACTTATATATTTGTATGTAACTACATACATGTACATAGCTTATAGGTTAATTAGATGATTAATTATTTAAAAACATAAATAAGGAATGAAGAAAATAAAATAGGAGTGCTTCATTGTATTAAAAAATGATAAGAATTCTAATGATATAAATTCAGTAAAATAATTATAAAAAAAAAAAGTCTAATAATCATCAAATTTTTTTAAACTTTAAAAGTTAAAAATTAGATAATAATAATAATTTAGATAAATAATAAATAATAATTTATCAGAATTTTATTTAATTAAAAAATCGATTCTTATAATTTGTAGATGGATTAAAGTAAAATTGAAAGAAATAAAAATATTCAAGAAATTTTGAAAGTTTGAAAATCGATTTTGAAAGTTTTTCTCTCCCCGCCTATGAGACAAATTGAGATAAATAATCGTGTGGCGATACAATACTCTCTTGAAATTTGTCATGGTGATACTCGAAACGGCACGCTCCTGAACATTTGCGAATTGATACTCGTAAAACTAACACTTGAATCGCATCTGGTGTGTATTCTCTACTCAGAAATGATATTTGAAGATTTTATCAATATCAACCAATGACAAACGTTATAGTTTCTACTTCAGAATTTTTTTCTGTTCTAATATTTTAATCAATAACTTAACCTCAATATTATCATGACTACTTTTAATAATTTTTATACTTTTATTTTTTATTTTTTCAATAATTTTTTTTATTTTTTTCATTAGTTATTATTAAGTTAGTTTTTTAAATATTCTATAATAAAAAAGTTTAATATAAAAAATGTTATATTTAAAAATTTATAATTATAAAATAATAACTTACAACTTTAACAACTTTACGAAAATCAAATTTCTTCACTAATATTAATTCTTTATTATATTAATCCTATCTTCACTAATATTACTAACTACTGTTTAAAGTTTAGCTGGAGTTAAATATCAATCATTAGATAATATCAAAATATGAAAAGGATTTCTGATTCTTCCATTCAAAATGTTTGTTCTCATACATTTCTACGGCTAATCCTAATTATGTTGGCAGATCTGTATAGTAGATATATTGACGATTGACAATAGTAATTCGCTTTGAAACTGTTAGCGAGCAGTTACACGTTTTTCAATCTAGATGTCGACAAAATTTTGCCAGTTAGCTAGGTAGAACCCTAGCAAACTAGTATTGTGATCGTATTAACACCTTGCATAATTGCATCACCACCAACGCCGCCGCGTTTCTCATTGTGCGTCCGTTAAACACGTCTCATTTGAATATTGGCCCATTCAGCACTTTGTCTGTCGCATAACCTCTCTTTCTCATTCTAGGATGCTTGATCGTTGATAAAGGGGAAGCTATGTATTCGTTGCTTTCTACAATATGCTATGTATTCTTTCTCAGGCTGTCAGTTTTCTTTGATTATGCTTCATTTAATATAAATAACATGAGTATAATGATATAATAGTTTTGTGATTAATAATCCAATAATTATATATTTTTTTTCGTAGAATATAATAAAATTTATTTTAACCAAATAAAAACAATAATTTGGGAAAATATATTTATGATTTACAATGATGTAATAAATAAATAAGTATAAAAAAAATAACTATAATACTTACGTACTTTTTTGAATTAACATAAATAATATAATAATATTATATAATAATTAAATTTATTAAATAATTTATATATAGTTATTTTATATTAATTGTATCTTTTACATATAATCTTTAAAGAATGAAATATATCAACAATTAAAAAAATAATTATTTTTATATTTTTAATATTTCAAAATTAATTTCTAATAATATTTTCCATTTTTAACTTCTTAAAAAAATTAATTTTAAATAAATTATTAAAAAGCGACATTAAAAAATTCAATAAAATACACCAAGAAATTGACTAAAAATTAGAAATAATTTTTATTTCGAATAGATGATGATAATTTATTTGTATTTAACATTTTAATTTCGTCATTATCATGTAAAAATTTTCAGCATGTTTTTAAACTCAAAATTTTAAATAATTATAAACATTTTTATTAGATAAAATATCTTCCTTAAACTTTTTTCTTTTCGATAAAAAACGAGAATTAAATGTCAAAAATATATTTTTTATTAAATAAAAAAAACCAGCTTCCTTAAAGAAATTTTTCTCAAAGTATCTCATATCATAAAACTTTTATAAATAAAAAGAATTTAAAAAAAAATATTCATTAATTTATTTTATTTATGTATGTTATAAAAACTTGCCTATTCAAAAATAATTTCTCATCGAAATTTTTCAGATTATAAGAAGAGTTCCTCCGATGTTTTCGGTTGGTCCGGTTGGAATTTCTACAAAATTGTGAAAAGAGGAAGAGTGCCGTTGAACAATTTTACCGAGGGTACCAAATGGTAGGAAGATGGAAAAGGACGATAGAAATAAAATTTCAGACCGGGCAGTAACAATAATCCGCAGAACTCTGGGGGTTTGCACTTTGCTCGTTGAACGATCCACCAATGGCTGGATGGGTCGAAGATAGGTTTCACTCTAGAACGTTCAGGATTGGCTAGATTCTCCGCCCAGGGGTTGCATCGATCATCCCCTTACCGCTTCACCAACCTCCGATATATAAAGCAGCCTCCCCAGGGACACTGAGGATAGTCTGATTCCTTTGCTGCTCTCGTGTATCCTTGGTTCCCTTCATTCAAACGTTGTGAAGTGATCCTTGGGAGATTGGAAATTAATCTTATCATAATTAATTGAAAAGAAAAATTATCATTAAGAGGTAGATACTTATCTTTAGTAGTGATTTAAGATTATAATTGAGAGATAGACATTCGTTTTTAATAGTGAATTTTTTTTGGCAAGAGATTATTGAAGAGAAGTTGGACAGTTGAAAAGTTGCAGGTTTGGTGTATTATAGTTAGTGAAACAGATATTATGAGATATAAAAAAGGCATTCATTTAACAAAATACAAATCAATATTAATTTTGCCAAATACTTGAATAATTCTAATTACAAAAATAAAAAATTTGAAATCAATTAAATTGACTGGTTTAATAATGTTAATATTTTAGATTTATATATCATAATTTTTATCAAATTAAATTTTAATATAAAAAAATATATCTTAAAAGTAGAAATAATTGAATGAAATAGAATGTTGAATTGAATAATAGAAAATAGAATGTTGATTAAAAGATGATAAAGATTAATAAGAGATAGAGAGATTAAATAATTGGGAATTTCAATTGAATTAGTTGCACTTAAGATCGTATGTAATCTGCAAATACTGAATTTCAATTTTCAAATATTATTTATAAATTTACATTTAAAATCTTTTAAATAACACAATACTATTAAATGAATATTTTTATTAAATCCATTAAATGTATATTTTTCTTCAAAATTATATCGAAGAAATATAGATTATAATTTATAAAAATATTAAAAAAAGATAAAAATTTATTTAATTTTTATCACTGTTAAATTTTATTTCATAATTTTCGTGATTTTTTAATTTTTAGTTTTTATTCCACATTTAAATTGATAATATAAATTATATTTTAAAAATATGAGAGTTTGGCGTTATAAGTAGTAAACGTATGTTAATTTGAATTGCAATTGAAGTTATTAATGAGCTGGTAAGAAGAAAGAATATCTATGGCGAACCATTCGAGTTACGAGTACGAAGATAGAGGACAGAGGATGCGACATCGTGTTGGTACTACTTCCAGAGCGGCCGATTCTACTGTGGCCTGCACTAGGTGAAACTTGTGAAGTTTTATATCTTTCCTATTTTTTTTACAAAGAATCGAAATAAATTTTATTTATTTATTTATTTAATTTTTATTACTATTATATTTAATTTAATTTCTTTTAAAAGATTGACATTTAAATTTTTATTAATTATTTATTTTCTAAAATTCTATCTTTATGTTTATATATAAATTAATAGTGCATAATGGTTTAAGAAAATTATTGTTTATTTATTATTATATATATAAATTTTATTATTTATTACATAAAAATTAATAATTTTGAAGAAACATATTATATGCATATTTATATTTTGATTAATAAATAATTTATATAAATAAAAATAAAAGATTTTTTAATAAAATTACAGTAGTCAATATTACGTGGGTCCAAGCAGTGATATTAGTGAGGAAGATCTGGCAGAATTGCCTTCTTGTGTTTATGCGGGTAGATCCACTCAACACGTTGCACACACCTCCTCACATACTCATTCTCCTCTTCATTATCATATGCCAGTTTCTACACCTGGTAATTCGATTAATAATTTGAATTAAAAACTTAAATTCAATATTTAAGTATTTTTTCAATGCTTAAAATATATATATATATAT